CTCAGGATCGCGCTGTTTCCTGACGCGGGCGCTCCGAACCCGTCGCCATTTTAGTTCTTCCTTGCTGGTATTATCAATCAACATATTTTGACTCTCCAGTTTCAGAGGCTGGGAAGTCCAAAGTCCAGGGAACACATCTGGTTAGATTTCCCTTTGGTGGTGGCTTTACAGCAATGCAGGGGTCTCACATGGCAGTAGATGGTGGTGCATAGAGAACAGAGACTAACGTCCCCAAGCTCCTTCTAACTTCCAATAGGATCAGGAAGTACAGAATCTTGTAATCTTCCAAGGCTTCACAAGAAGGAATACAGTGGTCCCCTTACCTGACAGGGGATATGTTCTAAGACTCGTGTTGGATGCCTGAAACCACAGTTAGTCCAGAGCCCTATATATATTAAGTTTTTACTATACATACTCATACATACCTATGATAAAGTTTAACTTATAAATTAGGCACCATAAGAGATTAATAATATCTAATAATAAGATAGAAAAATTCTAACAATATGCCGGCATCACTAATCTTGATCTTTGAGGCCATTATGAAGTAAAATATGGGTTACTTGTACACAAGCACTGAGATACTGCAACTGTCTGATAACCAAGATGGCTGTGAAGTGACTAATGAGAAAGTAGCATGTACAGCGTGGATATGCCAGACAAAGGGATGATCCACATCCTGAGTGGGACAAAGCAGGATAGTGTGACATTTCATCAGGCTACTCAGAATGCTGTGCAATTTAAAACTTATGAATTGTTTATTTCTGGAATTTTCCATGTAATATTTTTGGACCTCAATTGGCTGCAGAATGGAAACCATGGAAAGAGAACCCACAGATAAGGGGGAACTACTGTAGGTTGTCTCTTTTCCTTCAATGTGCCTTAGATAATCACTGCACACAGGAACCACTAATAAAAATAGCTGTCATTTGTTGTCTACTGTGTCTAGAACTATGCTAGGTGCTTAACAAAATTGTCTTATTTAATCTTCACAGTAACATCACAGTAGTGCCAGATAGGAATAATCACTATCTTAACTTTATAGATGATAAAATCAAGTCTCAGAAACATTTAAAAAAATTGACTAACAGGGCTGGCCAGTTGGCTCAGTTGGTTAGAGCAAGGTGTTATAAACACCAAGGTCAAGGGTTTGGATCCTCATACTGGCCAGCCGCCAGAAAAAAAAATTGCCTAAGATTACACAGATTAAAAGTGACAGAGCCTGGATTTCACTATGTCAGATGCCAAAGTGCCATTATACTTTTAAATCCTACAGAATAGATTTAGTCACAACTTACATGAAAGATGATAACTGGTCCTATGACTTAACTATCCATTTCCTTTTCTCAAGGAAAGACCATCCACCCTAGAGTTCAGGATATCATACTTATCATACTGTTCCCTTGGTACAGTTCCTATTATGTATTTAAAAAACAGGGGGGAAACTATTACATTCCTGGAGGTGCTAAATACTACACACGAGGACACTATTTTGTGATGATGTAGGTCCTTTATGTAAGTAATTCCATTTGCAAGATTTTCCTGTAGTGTGGAATCTCTGATGATAAAGTAAGGGGTGAAATGTAATTAAAGGCTTACCCCTGTCGAAGTTTCTGATTTATCACGTGGAAAGCATTTAAGAAGGACATATCTGCACATGACCTGAGGCTATATACTCTAAACTGAATCAGATGAAAATTGCTCTTAGGAATCTTAGAATTTTCCAAGTACTTATGATAGCTAAAAGTAGATACAACAGTATCTAAAACAAGCATTTTATCATTTACTGTCTTCACAGAGTCATGATCCTGTGTGGTTTCTCCAATGCTCAGTTAGACCTGAGCTCTGACTGAAAGTTTTTCCACATTCATTACATTCATAAACTTTCTCTCCAGTATGAATTTTCGGATGCCTAACAAAGTCTGAGCTCCATCTGAAGGTTTTCTCACATTCAGTGCATCCATAGGGTTTTTCTCCACTGTGTATACTTCAATGCTGAATAAGGAGGGAACTCTGCCTGAAGGTTTTCCCACATTGACTGCATTCATAGCATTTCTCCCCAGTATGAATTCTCTGTTGGGTAACAAGATGTGAGCTCTGACTGAATACTTTTCCACAATCATTACATTCATAGGGTGTCTATCCACTGTGAATTCTGTGATGTATAAGATCTGAGCTTTGATTGAAGGCTTTTCCACATTCATCACATATATATGGCTCCTCTCCACTATGAATTCTCTGGTGCAGGATAAGGTTTGAGCTTTCCCTGAAAGCTTTTCCACACTGATTATATTCATAGGGATTCTCACTATGAATTTGCTCATGTCATATGAGATTGGAGCTCTGATTGACTGTAGTCACCACAAACATAAGGTTTCCTTCCAGTATGAATTCTTTGATGTATAACAAGGTTTGAGCTTCTACTGGAAAACTTTCCACATTCATTACACTTATAAGTTCTCTTTATCGTATGGATTTTCTGACTGAACAAGTCCTGACTTCTGTTTGAAGCTGTGGCCACATACCTTGCACCTATAAGTTCTTTCTTCTGCAGAAATGCTCTGGTATAGAACAAGTGGGCTCAGATCACAAATTCTCACTTTCTTATTAGCATTCAAATTTTCCTTCTCTTATGAGGATTTTCTTAAGAGTAATGCTTACTTGGCTGAACACTTTATCTTCAAAAGGGAAAGGTTGCAGTCCAGCCTCTGATGAGTTTAACTGTAACCTCTCCAAGCTGTTCTCACATTCATCGGATCCTAAGAATTTAGATCCCTAGGGTATTTGTTTTGGGTGTCCTGATTCTGTTTCTTCAAACATTTCTGCTTTAGCTTCCATCCCTTCTTCTCAGTATTTTTTTTTTCATTATCTGAAACATAAATTAAAAGTATAAATGGTTACCTCCTCATGCTAGGAGAAAAGAAATTCTTAGATGGGAGGGCAAATATCAAAGTAAAACATTTATATGTTTCGTTGAGCTTCTAAATTCTCAAAAATGGTTTTATGCCGCGTGATGTAATTCCAATAGATCCTTCTGACCCTTCACTGTAGATTCAATAGCAGAGAGATGAACAGGACAGTGACTGAGAGACCGTGGAAGGAAAAAAAATGGTTTTATAATCTGGGAAAGAGAAAAGCTTCTCAATTTAACTTTGGTCTCTCTAGGATATAAATTCCCAAACATGGATGATCATCAGAATCACATGGGGGAGCTGCTGAATCAAAAGGAATCTACTGTATTCTTCTCTCTGAAGACTGTCTTTCTCCTTTATTACTTCAGTTCCTGGATCCTGAAATTTCCATTATTCAAAAGACCAGCCCTGGATGAACTAGAATCTCCTAGTTCTAGTCTCAGAATCTTAGAAAAGAGAGTCAGCTGGATGACACTTGCGTTAATATCACCCAGATAACTCCTCTGCTTTGCTTCCATACCCACCAACCAACCTTCAGATTAGAATCTAGCTTCCCATGTAGATTTTCCTAGGGAGAGAATGTGTTGACAGCCCACTCAATTTCTTTTTTTGCTTTGTTTTGTTTTGGCAGCTGGCTGGTAAGAGGATCTGAACCCTTAACCATGGTGTTATCAGCACCACAAGCCCACTCAATTTCTGAACCAATCGTCAGCTGTCCTGCCCCAAGGTTCTAATCTTACATTATTCTTGAATAATTTCCCTACTGTACTGGGTTGAATAGTGTCCCTCCACATTAATGTCTATCTGGAACCTGTGAATGTGACCTTATTTAGAAATAGGGTCTTTGCAGATGTAATCAAGGTAAGATGAGGTCATACTGATTTAGGGTGGGCTTAAATCCAATATGACTGTGTCCTTATAAGAAGAGGGAAATCTGGACACAGAGACAGACACACAAGTAAGGTGGCCATATGAGGATGGAGGCAGAGATTGGAATTATGCTACCAGAAGTCAAGGAATCCCTGGGACTACCAGAAGTTGGAGGAGGCAAGAAGGATCCTCCCCTAGAAACTCCAGAGGAAGTGTGGCTCTGCCAACACCTTGATTTCAAAGTTCTAGCCTCCATAACTGTAAAGAAATAAATTTCTGTTGTTTTCAGCCATCCAGATTGTGGTAATTTGTTACAGCAGCCCTAGGAAACTAATATGCCTACTATGAAGTCCAATTACTTTTTCAGAAAAAAGTCAGTTTTTCTGTTCCTCTCATTCCTCATTGACATTACCATTGTGGCTTTCTGGATTTCATGAGATTATCGCAAGAGTGGAGCATAGTGGTTAAGAACATGGGCTCTGGATATAGACTTCCTGGATCTGCCTCTACCATTAACCTACTGTGTGATCTTTGCTTACCTAAACTTACTGTGCCTCAGTTTCCTCATCTATAAAATATGAACAATAATAGTACTTAAGAGATGTTTTGTGAGGATGAAATGAGTTAATAAATATAACGTGCTTAGCATAACACCTAGCTCAAATCAGGACTCAATAAATAATGGGTATTTTAAATTTTGTTATTTAGTTAATAATCTTGGAAACAAGACTTTCCTGCTCCAATTTAAACTGGACAATACTGTTACTTGCACATCACTTTCATCTTGTTAAGTCCTGTCAAAAACCTTTAATTTTCCCTATTTATTACTGTAGCAATTCTAGCTTTCTTTTACTTGATTTCGAAAAATGTCCATCATCTGGTCCCAACCTAGTCATCTAATGTTATTTTACTCCATAGGGCAGAGTTTTTTGTTCACTGTTGTATCCCAATGCCTAGAACAGTGTTTGGCATATTCTATTTATTCAGTAATCAGTTATTAAATGAATGAATACTGTCAATGCAAAACTGCTGCTCCAAATACCCCCATGTTGGACCTAGCCAAGTCCAACTCTGCCTTCCAAGTCCAAATCAGGTTCTATATCCTTTAGAAGGCATTCTGAGAAACAGAATAGTGAAGTGGTTAAGAGCAGACTCCGGAGCCAGACTATCTTAATTCACATATTGGCTCTGTTGCTGTCTAACTCTCTAACTTGGACATGTTTCTCAACTTGTCTGTGTCTCACCTATTTCATAAGGTTTCTACCTTAATAGGGTTTTCACCTACTTCATAGTGTTGATAAAGATTAAATGAATTAATATAAAACTCTTAGAATGGTGCCTGCCACAGAGAAAGTGCTAGTTAAGTGTTTAGGGCAAAAATAAGTACATAAAATATGAGATACAAAATTTAACTTTTAGTTATACACTGTCATATTTTTTACCAAGTTCAAGATCATTTGACTCTTTTTCTCTTCTCTTTATGTCCAAGTCAATTGTTCTTTTTCTTTTCTTTTTTCCTTTCAGCTCCCACATTATAAATCAGGAGTATATTCTCCTTTATTTGGACTCTTTTAACAGTCTCAAAACTGGTCAGTTTCCTGCCTTCCTCTAATTATATCTGTTTACCTGCCACCACTGTTAAAGTACTTTTTCCTAGCACATGGCTCCATTCCATGAAAAAAAAAAAAAAAAAACCCCACAAAAATCAGTGAAATAATACAATAAAATAAAATAAAAATTACTTTTTCTTAATTAATGCTGTCAGTCTCTGATTTAAAGCAAAAATATTCTGGATCCTGGGAGCAGTCAAAGATCTAGGCCTCTAGCTGTAATGACTGACAGCTCTTTTATCACTTAACAGAGTTTAGATTTGTACTAGAGTCAGCACTGTATTAGTTAAATGCAGGCATTTATCCCTGTGTTCACTTTGGGACTTCTGATCACAGAGTAGAGGGAAGAGGAGGTAGGGAGAGGATATAGGTGGAAGAGCACAAAAAGGGAAAAGGCAGAAGTGGAAGAAAACAGAGTTGGTCCCAGAGAATTGACTGAAAAATTAACTAGATCTAGGCTGTTGCTACAGCAAACTGCTGACCCTTAACTCTTCCACCACTACTAAGCCTGAGTGCACCAGACCAGGAAATCCCAGGTTCCAGCTGAGGCACACTGTATGAACCAAGCCTGACTTCATCTAGCACTTCAATCCTACATGCAAAAAGGATGACACAGGATTTTGGAGGCAGTGAAACTACTGTTTGATGCTATGATGGTAGAAGTTATTATACATTTGTTCAAACCCATAGAATGTACATCACCAAGAAAGAATCCTAATGCAAACTATGGACTTTGGGTGATTATGAAATGCCAATGTAGGTTCATCAGTTGTAACAAATGTATCACTTTGGGGGGGATGTTATAATGGAGGAGGGTATGCATGTGTGCAGCCAGGTAGTACATGGGAAATCTCTGTACCTTCTTATTTTTGCTGTGAACCTAAAACCACTCTAAAAAAAATAAAGTCTTAAAATTAAAAATTTTTTTAAAAGGGAGGGATGCTATAGACTGAATAGTGTTCCTCCAAAATTCATATATTGAAGTCCTAACCCCCAATGTGATGGTATTTGGAGATGGGGCTTTGGGGAGGTAATTAGTTTGTATGGGGTCAGAAGGGTAGGGCCATCGTGATGCCATTAGTGCCCTATAAGAAGAGACACCAGAGAGCTTTGGGTGTCTCTCTCTCCAACATTTGAGAATACAGAGAGGGCAGACTAGAGAGTTCTCACCAGAACCTGACCATGCTGGCACCCTGATCACTGACTTCCAGCCTCCCAAAGTGTGAGAAAATAAATTTCTCTTTTGTGCCATCCAATCTATTGTATTTTGTTAGGCAGCCTGAGATAAGACTAGAACTGGGGTGTGTGTGTTAGTTATAGGCAGAAGGATCCCATGTCCAAAAGGTAAAGCTAAAAATTCTGGAAGGAGCCAGTAAGTCATCAGGATGTCTCATCTTATTTGCTAGAGGCATCTTTTGGGGAACAGGTGATGGGGGTGGGTAGGTGGAAGGCAGGGGACTTGGCCAGTAAGTCTGACTTTTTATTGAAGAGTTATTTCAAAACAGGGAACAGAGACAGTTCTGCACCCCATAGGCGTTTGTGATGCAGGCACCACCCTGACATGTAAGGCACTAGGCAGCCAGGTGACATGGTCCTTGCTGTCTGGGAATTGTGCCAGCAAAAGCTGGCTGCCCATCTGCTTGTCTCCGCCTTCCTCCCTCTTCTTGAGATCTGGACTTTGAATGAACCCGGGACCCTGAGATAGTGCCGGGCGCGTGGCGCGCCGTCTCCCGCTGCTGAAATACCAGCTGTCGAGGCGCTCGGCGAGGGAGGGCCATGTGGCCGTCGCGGGCTGGGGCAGCGCCCGAGGGCCTCAAAGGTGCGGGCCGGACCGCGCGAGTGGTCCCTGACCTGAAGGAACCGGGGGACACGTGACTGTAGTGCCTAAGAAAACACGCTGTGGAGTCAGGCAGGCCCGGACTTGAATTCCAGTTTCTTCACTCACTCGTTGTGGGTTTTAGGGCAAATTACTTTGTCCTGCTAGACCTTCGTTTCCTATTTATAAAACGGGGATAACAGTAGCATCCACCACTAAAGACTGAGGTAGGAGTACAAGGAAAACATTGGTGTCAAGTGTGTATCACAGGATACGACACATAGGAAGTACAGAAAAATAATGGATCTAGGTAAGGAGGGAGCATTCTTGACAGAGGAACAGCTTGTAAAAGGCCAAGGGCAAGAAGGTGGTGCCTAGGTCCTTGGGGAACTGCAGAGAGTTCAGGGGTAAAGGTTGGATTTTTTTTTTTTAATTTATTTTACTTATTGAATCAAAATCAATTATATATATTTTTGGGGTTGAACATTGAGATATGTTGATTAAATCAATATCACTAGCATATGTATTGTTACAAATCATTATTCTTTATGCCCCTTGTCTAATCTCACCCCTTCCCCCATTCCCTCCCCCTCCCCCCTCTAATTGCCCTAGAGTAAAGGTTGGATTTAGAAGGGAAAGGTAAGCACTTTGCAAAAAGCCCTCGCCAACTAAGTCAACCCTGCCACTGTAATATATCCTTCTCCTTCCTGGCTCTTACCATGGTTGTAATTTTATTTACGATTCTAATTAATCTTGTAACCTAAGGGGCAGGGTCACCTAAATGCCTGGGCACTTACCCACAGCTGAAAAGTTACAGGAAGTGAACGGGTCATAACCCTTTGTTCTGAGTTTCTGTTGTTGCAGGAGGTGGCAGGAAGTCATGAACCCTGAAATACTAGATAGGTATCAAAATATATCAGCTGAAACTGAAATACAGGCTCCAGAGATTAAATTAGGTGAATTTCTGCCCAAGGAAGAGCTGGGATCTCTACATCTCCTGTCCCTGTTTTACGTGATGGGTCAATGACAGCAGAGAGCCTCAATTTGCCACCTGTAGACGGTTAGCTGTACCAGTTGAGGGCTCAAGGCTTAGCCCCCGTGACAACTTCCTGAGGTCTCGTTGTTGCCCAAAGGACACATTACTTCTTGGTTCCAAATGCACATTTGGCTTTAAAACTGACCATTGAACTATGTCAACCAATCCAAATTGAACAAGCCCTATCCATCATTTACACAGAGGACCTCAATGAGAACTTGGGTGGGAAGTTAGCTGAGAACTTTGGCTATATAAGACAATCCCTTTCCCTTGTTTGGGGAGACACTGCTCTGGGAGTTATTCCCAGTGTTCTCCTTACTTGCAAATCCTATCCTGGTCTTTGTGTTTTTGCACTCTCTGAGGGAAGGACTCCCTCCTCTACTATTATGATTTCTACCAGCATAGAGACTTGCCTACTTCTGCTCACATCTCTTTGTAGCCCCCAGTTCCTGACACATATTAGAAGCTCAATAAATATTTATGGAATGAGTAGATGAGTAGGGCCAGATCAGAACACATATGGCACATTAAGGACTTTTGACTTTAGGCTGATGTTAGTGGGAAACCACAGCAGAAGTTTAGAGAGGAGGTGACACCATCATGGTTGTTCTAGAGAAAGGTCATTCAGGCTGCCCTATAGAGAAGAGTTGGAAGCAGGGAGGCATGTTGGGAGGCAGTGGTAATAGTACAAGCAAGAGATGATGGTGGCCTCTAACTAAGGGCATCAAAAATAGAGAAAAGTGCACTAAATTGGCAGATTATTGGATAACATTCCCTTCCTCTTCTGTACTCACATGCTCTCTCCCCCAAGTTTGGTAGTAATTCTTGTTTCCTAGGAGATATTTATATGAAGAAACCTCTCCTAACCTACATTCCAAATCACCCCTGTTCCTCAAAGAGATTATCAGACTCTGATTTCCTCTCAGTTCTGGTCCTCCTGGAGTTTAATTCTTTAGCTGTTTAAAGTTTCACGAAGGCAAACTTTTATCCTTTAGGCTTTTTTCCTCAAAGTTTCAAAATAGGCTGCTCCTTAACAGGTAGATCTTATTCTGCACAATTCAGGTTTACAGACTGGACACTGATACATTAACGCCTGCTACCCATTAAAGCTTTGAATGGGTTTTCATTTCAAGAACTGTCTGCTCATCTGAAGATTTAACACTGTTGTCCTCCCTCAGAACCCACAGGACTGTAAATTCCTGGAAGAACAATGACTGTCCTTCTCTAGCCATCTAACCATGGCCCCTGGCACATATTAGGTAGTCAATAAGCATTTCCTGAATAATTTTTATTTCAACATTCACAGTTGAAAACATTTCCATACTGTAACAAAATTTTCCTTGTTTTCAAATGTTCAATATATGCAGTTTAATTCAAGCTCCATCAGGGATGAAATGGTTAGTTTTCAATTTGCGGATTTCAAGTAATCATTAATACTTCAAAAAGTCCAAGGTGAATTATATATTTACCCACAAAAGGGATAAAAAGACTAATGAAAGTGTTGTTTGCTTTGGCTGGAATTTTAGTACATAGGTCTGATTATGTCGTGCCAATCAGAAGCATGATTGGTGGTTATACATGCATTTGAATAGCCAAAAATAAAGAACTAAACGCAGTTTGGTAAACATAATCTTTTAAAACACAGGACACCGGGAAGTAAAAAAGAGAGTTTTGATGTTTAAAAAGTTGGAAACCACTGCATTAAATTACCTTCAAGTGCCTTTTAGTATCCTGCTTGTCCTTGTGAGCATCACCTTTCACTGTACTGCACTGTAAGGACAGGTAAAGGAGCTGGAGGTAGGTCTTTTGGAATAAATTCTCAATTCGTTTCTTTTATAAAATTAGAATGCTAAATTGTTCCAGCCAATAACAGTTCTGATTAGGTAGAACCTGGGTTAACTAAAAAAAAATTAAGTAATTTTTGATCCAAGTGTATCATTGATGACAACTATTTTGAGTTTTCTTTTGCTTCCCCAATATATTCAAAAGATATTCTCACTTAAAAAGAGTATTAGTTTATGTGAGATTATTAAAGAGCTAAACCTCTGAGTCAGGTGATGGGGGTAGGCAGGCTTCTCAACCCCCTGCACCACATATCACCCACATGCAGCCAGCTTTCAGAGATGGTGTGAATGGGCTTCTCCACTACAGGACGTCCCTTTACTATTCAGGATGCCCCTCTGGGGAAGCCATAGCTCCAAATGCTTTGAACTTTAACAGGTCATATTCTTTATGCCATCCACAAGATACCCTTCTATTATACATTTTATATTTTGTTTGTAAATACCTCATCTTTTGTTTAAAATTAATTAAAGCTCCAGATGCCCTTTGATGTGTCAACAACAAATTCTTGTTTTCTCATTTAAACCTCAAAATTACCCCATGAAGTAGATTATTTTGTCACCATTTTATTAATGAGAAAACTAAGGATCAGAGAGGGTAAATAATTTGCTCCAGGTCTAATACACATTGTACTTATACTGGGATTCAAACCCATGTCTTACTGCTTCTAAAGTCTGTGCTCCCTCCGCTACAGATTGCCTCCCTTGGAGCAGTTCCCCAAACTAATGGTTTCTTTCAGACTCTGGATTCCTCTTGGGATGCACTGACATTGTTCTCATCACACTGAAATGCTTGCTTAAATGGCCCCAGGGGACGGGAGTTCTAAATGTCCATGGGCAGGGTTTCTAAACTGTGGCATTACTGACACTTGGGCTAGATAATTCTTTGTTGTGGGGCTGTGTACCTTTTACATTGAGCAACATTCCTGGTTGTTAGAAGCCAGTAGTTGCCTACTCGGTGTGGAAACCAAAATGTCTCTAGATATTGCCAAATGCCCCCTGGGGAGCAAAATCACCCCAGGTGAGAAACGCTGACTCCCTTCAGTGGTGCATCTCACAAGTACTTCCACTACAGAAAGATAGGAGGTTGAAATTCACTTTATCTTCCATTGTCCCTTTTGGTAACTTTCTTATCTGATGACTCATGTAAATTAATATACAATCTGCCAGTCATTCAGAAATATTTAACGACTGAATCTGATTGCACAGATAGGCAGGGCCTAATTACCAATATCAGTTACCAGGTTACATTATGACTGGCCTCTCTCCAGTTCTGTTTAGACTCTCCAGTTTTCAAATGAGCTGTCCTGGTTCAAGACAAAACTGCTCTCTCTAATCACCTGACCTTTCAAAGTAGAGGCTGTATTCTAGTTCCTAAATGCCCTGCTCCAGCCCTAATTCCATTCTTAATATCTACTGTTCTCCAGTCTCTTGAACTTTCATTTCCTGATACTACTAGTAGTCAATACTCTTTCTCTGGGGAATACCTTACTTGTCTCTTTTTATTTGTTTTGTTTTTTTGTTTTTGTTTGTTTTTGGCTTTGGCAGATGGCTGGTATGGGATCACTTGGCTCTTGTACCCCAGCCTTCAGCTAGGATAAGAAATTACTTGTTGTCAAGTCATTTCTATTATTTTTTTTTTCCTCTCAATTTGTGGATCATTCTAATTAGCATTATGACATATGCGTGAACATATTTTTATAAGGAAGAAAAAAGAGGAATATGTGTAAAATGTATACCTAAATGAAGAATTTATCAAATTCATCCCAGAGAAAGATTTAATCACCCTAAAGTACTGAAAGCAGATTTATACCTGTCACTGGACTAGGAAGTCATGATAGAAATGGCTCCTTCCATTTAGTTTTGGGGTTGTTGCCAACATGATTTCTAATTATTTTAATAATGATAGCAATCCCTTAAAACATTCTCAAGTAATTATATTCTTGGGACCATGCTCCAGTGTCAACTCTGAGACAGAAAAAGGCTATTATGTCCAAGAGTTTTTAGCTTTTCTACTTGATTACATGTGTATGTTTTTCATCTGCTAGGACTTTTCTAATATTTCTATCATCAAATGGTTTGTCCAACAACAAAAATCCTCTACAGTGCCATAAGATGTGGTCTCTATCAGGCTTTTCCTACTTTTACTACATTCATTGGGTTTCTCCTACCTATTAGAATAAGTCCTGTTTGAAGACTCTCTCATATTCCTCAAATTCCTTTCCAATATGAAGTTTGTGTTGAAGAAAAGTTGTGCACCCACTGAAGGCCTTCCCACAGTTGTTACATTCAAAGGGTCTCTCTCCAGTGTGAGTTCTCTGATGACTAATAAGGTGTGAGTTCTGACGGAAGCCCTTCCCACATTCGGGGCATTCATAGGGTTTCTCTCCAGTATGAACACAATAGTGTTTAATAAGATCTGAGCTGCCCCTGAAAGATTTCTCACATTTACTGCTTACGTAAGGTTTTTCTCCACTATGAATTCTATGATGTTTCATAAGGTCTGAACTCTGGTTGAAAGTTTTCCCACATTCTTTACATTTGTATAGTTTCTCTCCTGTATGAGTTATATGATGCCTGATGAGGTCTGAGCTGCCTCGGAAAGTTCTACCACACTAATTACAATGATAAGCTTTCTCTTCTTGGTGAGTTCTCTGCTCTTTCCTAAGCTCATCCTTTCTGAAGGTTTTTTCACATTCTTCAAGTTCTTCTTCAGTGTGAAGTCTCTGATGATTGAGAAAAGCAGTGTGCCAGGTTAAGGGTTTTCCACATTCCTTGCATTCATAGGGCTTCTCACCACTATGGATTCTCCCATGTTGAGTAAGGAGAAAATGCTGCCTGAAGGTTTTCCCACATTCATTGCATTGATGGGGCTTCTCTCCAGTATGAATTTTTTTTTTTTTTTTTTTTTTTTAAAGATGACCGGTAAGGGGATCTCAACCCTTGGCTTGGTGTTGTCAGCACCACGCTCAGCCAGTGAGCAAACCGGCCATCCCTATATAGGATCCGAACCCGCGGCCTTGGTGTTATCAGCACCGCACTCTACCAAGTGAGCCACGGGCCGGCCCTATAAAAAACTGAATTTTCTGATGTGTAACAAGATGTGACCTCTGGCTAAAGGCTTTCCAACATTCACTACATTCATTGGGTTTCTCTCCAGTATGAATTATCCAATGCGGAATTAGATCTGAACTTCCTCGGAAAGTTTTTACACACTTGGTATATTCATAAGGTTTTTCTTCTCTATAAATTCTCTGTTGTTTGATAAGGTCCAACTCAGTACAAGCTTTTTCCCATTCAAGTTTCTTTCTGGTATGAAGTCTCTGGTGTTTAAGAAAAGCTGTGTGCTCACTGAAGGATTTCCCACATTTGAGACATTCATACGGTTTCTCTGCACTGTGGAGTCTCTGGTGTTTAGTAAGGTGAGAATGCTGCCTGAATGCTTTTTCACATTCATTACACTTGAAGGGTTTCTCTCCAGTAAGAATTCTCTGACGTGTGACAAGGTGTGAACTTTGACTGAACATTTGACAACAGTCATAACATTCATAGGGTTTCTCTCCTGTGTGAATTCTGAGATGTATAATAAGATCTGAGCTTTGACTGAAGGCCTTCCCACATTCATTGCGTATGTATGGCTTCCCTCCACTATGGATTCTCTGGTGTAGGACAAGGTTTGAGCTTCCCTTAGAGGCCTTCCCACATTCTTTACATTCATAGGGATTCTCGCTGCTGTGAATTCTCTTATGTCTAACCAGATTAGAGCTCTGATTGAAGTCTTTCCCACATTCATGACATATATAAAGTTTCTTTCCTATATGAATTCTCTGATATATAATAAGGTTTGAACTTTGGTTAAAGTCTTTCCCACATTCATTACATACATATGGTTTCTTTCCTTTATGAATTCTCCCATGTATGATCAGGTTTGAGCTCTGGTTGAAGGTTTTTCCACATTCTTTATATTCATAGGTCTTGTTTATATTATGAATTTTCTGATCTCTTAATCCTAACTCTTGTTTGAAGCTCTGGCCAGAGACCTCATATCTATGGGATCTTTCTCCTGCATAAAGTATTTTTTCTCTTTCATTACATCCATGGCCTCTCTCTCCTACACTGGCTTTCTTGGGGATGAGATTCACTTCCCTGATACCTCTCTCTTGGGAAGGGAGATGTCTCACTGCATCCTCTAAGGGGCTTACCCAATGCTACAATAACCTGTCCTCAGGATCACTGGTTTCAACTAACTCATATTCCTGGGAGATATGTCTTTAAAGTCTTTCTGATGTAGCCTTTGATGAATCTTTTCCTTCAGAAATTTTCTTCTCTGACTTCCATTCCTTCATCTTATTCCTGGTCTTAGAATCTGAAATGATAAGTAGGTCATTCTATAATTCCTTACAAACAAATATGACTTCTTCTCTATACTGGAAAGTCTAAGAGGGAGGAATAAAGAACTTAGAAGAGGATCCTTCCCCCTCAGAGATTCAGACCTTATTAGACAAATTGTCGCTAGCACAGAAACACACACCCTGTAGGTGGACAAGAAACTTGCCAGGGTGCAGGCTGGAGCTGGCCTGAAGAATGCTGGAAAAATTCACTGGAGGAGGCAGGCAGTGTGGAGTGGGTCCTCAGGAAGTAGCCTGTGAGATGGGAGTAGGAACTCACTGGATGGTGTGGCTGGGCCCAAGCTGGTTCACAGGAACCAGCTTACTAGGGTGAGTGTCACCAGCCCTTCTACAAGTTGATCTGCTGGCAGCCACACCAATAAACAAATTAATTCAAAAAATAAAAATAAACAAAAGGAGAACAGTACACCTGTACCAGAAAGAGAAGTTCCTTTCCCTTCCTATGGCCATGAATTGTCCCTCCAGCATCCTCTACTGACAAAGTCTAAATCTTGTGCTAGCTGGCAAAGGAGAAATGTTTACAGGGGCCAGCTCCAGTAACAAGAAAAGCAAAGATGAGTGGACTTGGAGTTCAGAGGCAATAAATTTAATAACCGGTACACTACCCATTCTTTCCAGTATACCATGATAGTTAAGCAAATCTGACGCTGCCTCTCTGTGCTGTCATTTCAATATAAATCAGTTCTCCTTTTCACAGACCTGGAATTTTTCTTTCTGGTATTCTGGTGGAATTGCCTCCTTTTGTATGGCAATTTTATATCCTCCTGCAATTGGTAGACAGATGAGCTTATTGCTTCAGGGTGTTCATGTTATCAAATCCCTGGCCTTGCCCAGTCACAAAAACAGACTCTAAGCTCCTTGAGAGAGTCATTTCACTTTGGTCCTGCTGATATGAACTCTCTAATCATTAATATTCTTGCAATGAATGAGAAGCAACACAGCATAGTGACTAAGAACATGGACTGTAGGGCAAACCGTCTGGGACTGAATCCTGGCTCTATCACTTACTGACTGTGTGACCTCAGGCAAGTTACTGGAACTTTCAGTGCCTGTTTCCTCATTTAAAAAATGGAGATAATAATTGTACTCACCTCATATAGTTGTGAAAATTAAGTATATGTAAGTATATGTAAGACATTTAGAACAATGCTTGGCATATAGAAAGCACTGTACAAGTGTCTGCTGCTGTTATTATTACTATTATTATTAATTTTCACCTTTTAAGCCCAAGAATTATCATTCAGTAATGTGTCCCTAGCACAAATCTCCATATCCAGGCTGGATTTCATTTAAATAATATTCAAATCAATTATTAGAAAGGATTGGCTTTGTCATAATTTTCCATAAAGGGCTTTCTGTTTTTTTAGTTTGTTTGATATATATTGTTCAAAATTCAGAAATAGATTGTTTAAAAGATGGTAGAATAAAGGTATTTCTCCAGACCTACTGAAAACAATTAAAACAAGAGCAATTGAGATGAACTCCATCTTCAATGAAAGGACCATTTACAGATATCGCCCAAAGTATCATATCCCTGAAAGGCATATTCAGTGATCTTTTGATTAGAGTGAAGAGATCTGAAGCATTGTGTGTGTGTGTGTGTGTGTGTGTGCGTGTGTGTGTGTGTGTGTGTGTGTGTGTCAGGGGGGTGGTGTCAGAGAGAAAGTGGGGATTGTCCCTGTGGAGATCTAGTTTGCCATTTTAAAATGGGAAGGGACAAGGTATTAAAGAAGAAACCAGGCTGGCTGGTCACTTCTGTTATCCCCCACCTGCTTCCTAGCTAGGGAATACTGTCAGAGGTGAGGCAAGGTGAAGAAGGAGCAGATAGTGTATGCAGTGGATTGGATGGCCCCCCAGAGTCATCAAAGCTTAATCCCCACTGTAACTGTGGAGGGGGGGAAATCCTATTATGGGAATTGAAAGGTGGGGCCTTGAAGAGATGATTAGATTGTCAGGACCCTGCCATAGAGAATTGTTTCATGGTGGTCATGGGCATGGTTCTGAGGGCTTTAAAAGGAGAGCACAGGAGATATCTCTCTCTCTCTCTCTCTCTCTCTCTCTCTCTCTCTGTGCTCCACTATCCTGCCATGTGAGACCCCTGTGTCACCACCAACAAGGTCTTCACCAGATGTGTTCTCTGGACTTTGGACTTCCCAGCCTCTGAAATTGTAAGCAATAAATTTTATTTTCTTACAAATAACCCAGTTCCATGTATTTTGTTATAAGCAACAGAAATGGACTAAAACAGTGTGACTCAAATTTTATTGCAAAAAACTTGTGATCTAAAGGATTTTTTATTGTGTCTTATTGAACTCTTAGAAATCAAAAGCTGAAGGGAGTTATGCCTCTAGATTTGGTGAGGGTGTCTGTGGCCACTAGTCTGTATGCAGTGCCCTGCCTCAATTTCCTCTGCCTCTTCCCATAGTACTTTTTAATAGAGAGCCTCCTTCGTTCATGGTTGAGGAGTAATCATTAAGGTAAATTTGTGAGATGTACCTTTTATTTTTTAAGGAAAGAAAGGAACATGAGTGATAGGCAGATTAGAAGCATACATCTATGAGGAATACCGAAGGAATTAATAGGAAGCATTCAATAGAGTTTTCTTTCATCTCAAAGAAATTACAGACAAAATTCTACATGCTTATTATAGGAAAAAATGAAAAACACAGTAAAGCACAGAAAAGAAAGTAATAATCACCCGTAATCCCATAATCCACCTCCCGAAGATAACCACTGCTAATGTTTTGTTGTATGGGTGTACATTCTTTCAGTCTTATTTCTGGACATATATTTTTTCTAATACAAAAATGGGATTGTGTTATACACGTTCTTTTTGTCTCCTTTGCCCTGCTCGTAATACTGGAGAAGGATCTTATAAACATTTTCCTTTGGCCAGCTGGCTTTGTCAATAGAAGGCACTGGAGGAACTCTATAAGGCCAGACAAAGGCAAAGGGATGTCTCTTCCTGGTACCAGTGGGCTGTTTTGGTTTTTTGGTGGGGCCACCAGATCAACACATGGGAGGATTGCAGGCTCCCTGTGGTCCAGCTCTGGCCTGCCTATAAGCTCCAGTGAGTGTTTCCACCACCTGGCAGGCCTTTTCTTTGGATAAATATCTCCCCATTTGGCAGGCCACACCTACAGACAACTCTGGCCTGTGCCCTCTGGCAAGCTTTTCACCACTAGCAGTCTGTATGTACCGCTGGTGGCCACATCCTCTCTAAAAAGGTCTGAATCTCTGCTTTGGAGTGGGGGAGTCCTCTTCTGTGGTCTTGGTTCTCACCTTGTTTAATCTCCCTTAGTCCTAGAGGTAAGGCTGCTTTCTGCATTAACTATTTCCTTAGAGTCCTCTTTTAACCCTTTTAGTAATTAACTACCTTTTACTAGTTAAAAAATTCTTCATATTAAATGTTACTGTTTTGATTACTGGTCTAGTTTTCATCTCCTGACTGGATCCTGGCTGATAGAGATATATACCATCATTTCCTTCTAGATCTAGAATAAAGAGAAGATGATACAAGAAGAGCAGTAAAGGTGCTAGGAGTAGGAAACAAAAATATGTTTGGAAATAGTGCTAAAAGTTCTCCTTTCTTTAAGAATCATTAGGATCAAACTTTTCCATAGGCAAAATTTTTGCAAACTACCTAGTTCTTAGTTCCACATAGTTCTGCAGAGATGAGTGGCTGCACTGCTCAAATTTGCCCTCTAATTCCAAAAATGAAAGGAATATGGAGTAATTTAAGAAAATCTCCTCGGAGGATGTCCAGAGCAGAAGGAAACAGCACCTGAACCATAGACCTCCTCTACATTCCAACCCAGCTAAACTCAGTTCTGGGAAAAGGGGTTCATGTTTCAAATCATTCTTTGATTTGTTCTCCTGACAAACATTAACTGAGCATTTACCATGTTCTAGACATTGTACTAGATATTATGAATACAGTGATGAATATAAGATATGGTTCCAGCCCTCCAGGAACTTACAGTTTAATGGAGGGGAAATATGTGTATAATTGGATAATAAGACGGTGTGACTAGTGCTATGAATAAGGTTAGCACTGTCTGCTATGGTGAACCTAGAGTCAACAGAACATGGTAACTGCCTGTGGGGGAAGGAGAGGAGTCAAAATGACTCCATTTTCTGATGTAGGCAATGGGTAGCATATGGTGCCGTTAATGAAGACAGAGGTGAGATGAGGAAGAGTAGATTTCAAGGCCAGAAAGAGGAGGTTTGAAGATGAGTTCAGTTTTGGCCATCTCTTGGTTTCTAATAGGACTAAAAGGACAGACATGGTGTAAGCTCAGGGAGACTGAATGAGCTGTCAATATCCATCTTCATGGATTGGGCTAGATACCCTTCAACAGAGAGCAGAAGTGTTTTGTCTTCAAGAGCCAAAGCAACTGGGAATCTTTAATTCAACTGAGCTCTTTAAAAACATCTCTCTCTCTTTTTTTTTGGCAGCTGGCTGATTAGGGGAAATAACCCTTGACCTTTTTTTTTTTTTTCCTTTTTGTCTTTTTTTTGTGTCCGGCAACAGATCGCAACCCTCAGTGTCGCGCCTGTACCGGACCGGGACCGGCAACGGGATCGCAACCCTCGGTGTTGCGGCCGCACCTCGCTCAGCCAGTGAGCAGGAACCGGTCTGTATGTGGGATCC